GAAAACAAGTTGGGGATGAATTTCAGATGGTCCAAGGTTCCAGGTTCAGATTGTTTGTTTGTTCTTGGATTTCTTGGATGTCTTGGTCAGGATGACTTGGATGAATTTCATAGATGTGGGGTCGGAAGATCAGAAGCTGTTTTTTCTGAGCGTCAGGCGGCAGCTGAAGGGAAAGCTGCGGCCTCGACACCAGAGAAACCAAAGGCCATCCAATTTCATCTCTTCAGAAGATTCAGCAGTCACCTGCTATGAATATTTCCCAGATGGATTTGATGATGTAGCTTCAGAACCGTACAAGATGTACAAGGCTTTGGGGAAACAATAGGCGGAGGTTCTTGAAATTGGATGTGATTGCAAACATGTATTTTACAATTTTATACAATTTTACATTATCTTACGATCTTGTTGTACCTGCAATCAAATTGGAATTCATGTGGTCAGAGGTTCCATTGTGAATGCCAGAGATTGCGCCAGGAGCCAGGTGCTGTTGGAACTGAGGTGCCAACTGTTTGAGGTGATGCCACAGGTCATTCGATGTGGACGCCTTCGGATCTTTCAGAACTTCAACAGATTTCTCGGTTTTTATAGATCAACATGAACTTTGTTGGATTGGATTGCAGACTGAGCGGGGGACCTTGGTCAATCTTGGTCATCTTAAGTCTCATATATCTTGATGTCTGTTAAAAAATGTAAAAAGGGACTTGGGATGAAATCCAGATGCTTCAAGGTTTGAGGTGACAATTGTTTGTTTTTTCTCGGGATGAATTTCGAAGATGGTAGGTTTCAAGAATGCCTTTTTCAAGATTTCAGTGGGGATTGCGGGACAGGTGCCAGACGCTGCAGAAGCTGCGCCATCGACGAAGCCAGAGATCCCACAGGTCATTCGATGTGGACGCCTTCAGACCTTTCAGGAGTTGCTAGGTGTTGAGGTAATCTCGGCAGACGATCCGGGTTCAAAACTTCAACAGATTTCTGGGTCTCAGATCAACATGAACATTGTTGGATTGGGTTGCAGACTGAGCGGTGGACCTTGGTCAGCCTTGGACATCTTAAATCTCATATATCTTGATGCCTGTAAAAAATCCAAAAAGGGACGTGGGATGAAATCCAGGTGCTTAAGGTTTGAGGTGCCAATTGTTGGTTTCTGGTCTAGATGAATTTCGAGGATGGTAGGTTTCAAGAATGCCTTTTCCGAGATTTCAGCGGGGATTGTGGGGCAGGTGGCCAGTGCTGCAGAAGCTGCGCCATCGGCGAAGTTAGAATTGCCCCAGGTCACCCGATGATTCGGATATGGATGCTTCTTCAGAAGTTTCTAGATTCTAGATGTCATTTATGTCATGGTGATCTTCCCTTTATTTGTGTGTTTGATGGTGGGGTTCCAAAATTTCAACAGACTCCGGGTTTAGACACTAGACATTAGACATAGACATTTGTCCGGCAAGTGATTTGGGATAAAATCCAGAAGCTTCACGGTTTGAAGTGCCAATTGTTGGTTTCTGTTATGGATGAATTTCAAAGATGGCAGGTTTCCAGGTTTTCAAGAATGGTTTTTCCAAGATTTCAGTGGGGAGTGTGGGGCAGGTGCCAGATGCTGCAGAACTTCCGCCCTCTACGAAGCTAGAGACGCAAGAGGTCATTCAATGTGGACGCTTCAGATCTTTCAGAAGTTTCTAGATGTCATTTATGTCATGCTGATCTTCCCTTTATTTGTGTGGTTTTTAAATCAGCATGAACATTGTTGAATTGGATTGCAGACTGAGCGGTGGACCTTTGTCAATCTTGGTCATCTTTAATCTCATATGTCTTGATGTTTTACATGTACAAAGGGACTTGGGATGAAATCCAGATGCTTCAAGGTTTGAGGTGCCAGTTGTTTGTTTTTGGTCTGGATGAATTTCAAAGATGGTAGGTTTCAACAATGTCGAAATGGTGTTCTTGGGGCAGGTGCCAGATGCTGCAGTAGCCGCGCCATCGACGAAGCCAGAGATCCCACAGGTCATTCGATGTGGACGATTCAGATCTTTCAGATCTTTCAGACGTTGCTAGGTGTTAAGGTGATCTTTCATTTGTGAGGCAGACGATGCGGGTTCAAAGCTTCAACAGACTTCTGGGTTTTTAGATCAGCATGAAGATTGTTGGATTGGGTTGCAGGCTGAGCAGTGGACCTTTGTCAATCTTGGACATCTTAAATCTCATATGTCTTGATGTTTTACATGTACAAAGGGACTTGGGATGAAATCCCGGTGCATCAAGGTTTGAGGTGCCAATTGTTTGTTTTTTGGTCTGGATGAATTTCAAAGATAGTAGGTTTCAACAATGTCGAAATGGTGTTCTTGGGGCAGGTGCCAGATGCTGCAGTAGCCGCGCCATCGACGAAGCCAGAGATCCCACAGGTCATTCGATGTGGACGATTCAGATCTTTCAGATATTTCAGAAGTTGCTAGGTGTTAAGGCGATCTTTCATTTGTGAGGCAGACGATGCGGGTTCAAAGCTTCAACAGACTTCTGGGTTTTTAGATCAGCATGAAGATTGTTGGATTGGATTGCAGACTGAGCAGTGGACCTTTGTCAATCTTGGTCATCTTTAATCTCATATGTCTTGATGTTTTACATGTACAAAGGGACTTGGGATGAAATCCAGATGCTTCAAGGTTTGAGGTGCCAGTTGTTTGTTTTTGGTCTGGATGAATTTCAAAGATGGTAGGTTTCAACAATGTCGAAATGGTGTTCTTGGGGCAGGTGCCAGATGCTGCAGTAGCCGCGCCATCGACGAAGCCAGAGATCCCACAGGTCATTCGATGTGGACGATTCAGATCTTTCAGATCTTTCAGAAGTTGCTAGGTGTTAAGGTGATCTTTCATTTGTGAGGCAGACGATGCGGGTTCAAAGCTTCAACAGACTTCTGGGTTTTTAGATCAGCATGAAGATTGTTGGATTGGGTTGCAGGCTGAGCAGTGGACCTTTGTCAATCTTGGACATCTTAAATCTCATATGTCTTGATGTTTTACATGTACAAAGGGACTTGGGATGAAATCCAGGTGCATCAACGTTTGAGGTGCCAATTGTTTGTTTTTTGGTCTGGATGAATTTCAAAGATAGTAGGTTTCAACAATGTCGAAATGGTGTTCTTGGGGCAGGTGCCAGATGCTGCAGTAGCCGCGCCATCGACGAAGCCAGAGATCCCACAGGTCATTCGATGTGGACGATTCAGATCTTTCAGATCTTTCAGAAGTTGCTAGGTGTTAAGGTGATCTTTCATTTGTGAGGCAGACGATGCGGGTTCAAAGCTTCAACAGACTTCTGGGTTTTTAGATCAGCATGAAGATTGTTGGATTGGGTTGCAGGCTGAGCAGTGGACCTTTGTCAATCTTGGACATCTTAAATCTCATATGTCTTGATGTTTTACATGTACAAAGGGACTTGGGATGAAATCCAGGTGCATCAAGGTTTGAGGTGCCAATTGTTTGTTTTTTGGTCTGGATGAATTTCAAAGATAGTAGGTTTCAACAATGTCGAAATGGTGTTCTTGGGGCAGGTGCCAGATGCTGCAGTAGCCGCGCCATCAACGAAGCCAGAGATCCCACAGGTCATTCGAAGCCTGAGCGGTGGACCTTTTGACCTTAAATCATATATCTTGATGTGGGTAGAAAGGGACTTGGGATGAAATCCAGGCGCTTAAAGGTTTGAGGTGCCCATTGTTTGTTTTTGGCCTGGATGAAATTCAAAGATGGTAGGTTTCAAGAATGGTTTTTCCAAGATTTCAGTGGGGATTGCGGGACAGGTGCCAGACGCTGCAGAAGCTGCGCCATCGACGAAGTTCGAGATGCCTCAGGTCATCCGATGCGGGCCCTTTAGACGTTTATGAAGTTGCTAGGTGTCAAAATTGACTTTCGAAGTTGACTTTTCCAGTTTGTCGAATGGATTTTCCATACGCTCAGCATGAATTTCAAGAGTTGCGTGGAAGATGTGGAAGATCGAGGCCATTTTTTAGTCAGGTGTGAATAGGCTGGAACCTGCAGATATTTGCTCAGTGCGCCATGATGATGGGCATATTTCGCCTTTTTGTGCTGGTGCTGCTGGCGTTTCGATATGCGAGTCCAGTGTGTGGAGCTAAAGAGCGCACACGGTACATGGACACGTTTGCTTCTCAACCAGAGCATCATTGGTTTGACCCGGGCCAGCACATCGAGCACATTGATTCATATATTGAGACTTGGGGAGGCCAGCATCCATGAAACCCAAAGCATGAATGAGCATCATGCCTCTCCATGTCGAGATACAAAAGCCATCAAAAAATGTAAAATTATCTTGCCGATTTTTTAAATATAAAGTTCTTATTTAAAATTGTTGATTTGGCAGTGATTTTGGGTCTGGCAAGGGTCCCCCTCACAATGCCGCTCCTGGAGCCACAGAATGCCATGAAATCATATGAAATCAGGTTCTGGTCCTTCAAATGAAATTCATGGCCCTTAGGTATCTTAGGTGCTCTAGGATGAAATTCAGTGTTTGAGGTATGGCTAAATACATGAAATCCTTGATCAGCCATCAACAAATTTAGAAAGCACTTGCCGATTTTTTTAATATAAAGTTCTTATTTAAAATTGCTGATTTGGCAGTGATTTTGGGTCTGGCAAGGGTCCCCCTCACAATGCCGCTCCTGGAGCCACAGAATGCCATGAAATCATATGAAATCAGGTTCTGGTCCTTCAAATGAAATTCATGGCCCTTAGGTATCTTAGGTGCTCTAGGATGAAATTCAGTGTTTGAGGTTTGGCTAAATACATGAATTCCATCATCAGCCATCAACAAGTTCAGAAGTTGCTAGGTGTGTCTCAAAGATCTCAAAGTTTTTTTATCGAACAATTTGAACGTCAGTTGTTCCAGGCAGGCAGACACTCTATGCTTTGGACTTGTTCGGAGCCAGCAAAACGGTCGCCAACGTTTTTGCCTCTCGTGGGTTTAGATCTGCGGCTTTGGACATTCTGATCGGCCAGGAGGACATGGACGTGCTTACCCAGCGCGGATGGTTCAATTACTTGGACCACCTACTGCAATTGAATCCAGAATGCCTATGTTATTTTGTTTGGTTTCTTTTTGATTCCTTCGAGCATGTTTGTCGATAAAAACAAAGCATTACTTACATATTTTGCATATTTACATCTAGTTGACAGGTGCGGCTAATGAAATTCAAAGGGCCAAAGGTCATATGTCATTTTTTCTGGACTGCCCAGGAGAGACAATGCTCTTGTAGTTGCAGGTCCGCCGTGCAGTTTATACGTGTGGATCTCACGCGGAACGCATTCCAGGTTAAGCCATGGACATGACATCTATGGCAACACAAAGTATTTATCCATTCGCATGTCCAATGCGATTGTCAGAAACTTTGTCGCTGGGTTTGAATTTCAGAGGTTGAGGTTTTGGGCACACAAAAGCTGCCACAATTGATATAATTGATTGAATTTCAAGTGTTTCACGACGATCCCGACGATGGGGTGCCCTCAGTTGTTGTAAGGTTTGGCTCCTGAAAAAGATCCACCTTATTCGACCTCTTTTCTGGATCATCGAGCAACCCACATCAAGCCAGATGTTCCTTGTGCCCGAGATGGACGAGGCGTTGCAGATGTGGGGGTTGTGGCTCACTACCACGTGGATGGGATGCTTTGGTCATGTGCTCTGGAAAGGGACGAAACTCATGAACAATATCCCGAACAGCTCAAGGTCCTTTGTCCTGTTCTGGAACATATTGTAAGATTTGTAAGCAACGTCGTTGGAAGGAAAGGCTTGTGACATCTTTCAAGTGACCACTGACCACCTTGCTAGGTTCAATATGTGTAAGTAGCCTTCTTGTCTAAGATCCTTGGGCTATGGAGGGATTTGGATTCATTTGAAAGCTGCTGAGGCTTAAGCGGAAGTTGACCATGCAGCAAAAGAAGGCCATTGCCTTGCGCAAGCGGAAAATGAATAAGAGGGCTCAGGCTCAAGGCGGTTCAAAGAAGGTCTACTACAGGACTGGGCAGGTGTTTGTATGATTGTGTCTCGCATGCCTTCTAGTATCTGTAGGATCTGTAGGGTCGGTAGTCGCCTGGGTTTGGGGTTCTTGCATGCCCTTTCTGTGTTCCTGTTACGATGACAGAATGCATTCAGATTAAACTGATGAAACTGAGAGACTGGAGGTGTCCTGGGAGATCTGGGAGATTCCAGAAAGCTCAAAAGGCACATACATAACGGTGCTCTAGGATGAAATTCAGTGTTTGAGGTTTGGCTATACGAATGAAATAAATCAGCAGCCATCAACAAATTCAGAAAGTACTTGCCGATTTTTTTAATATAAAGTTCTTATTTAAAATTGCTGATTTGGCCATGATTTTGGTCCTGGCAAGGGTCCCCCTCACAATGCTGCTCCTGGAGCCACAGAATGCCATGAAATCATATGAAATCAGGCTCTGGTCCTTCAAATGAAATTCATGGCCCTTAGGTGCTCTAGGATGAAATTCAGTGTTTGAGGTTTGGCTCTACGAATGAAATAAATCAGCAGCCATCAACAAATTCAGAAAGTACTTGCCGATTTTTTTAATATAAAGTTCCTATTAAAAATTGTTGATTTGGCAATGATTTTGGGCCTGGCAAGGGTCCCCCTCACAATGCCGCTCCAGGAAAAGTGCTGATGGAAGGGTGACAGGTGGGAAAGACCTTGGAAGCACCGCCACCTATCCGAGACAGTTTGCACACCAGGTCTTCTTTGTGTGGAAAGCTGCTTTCCAAGCTCTGAAAAACCCTTGAGAGCTTAATCGTTCCAGACCTCTGTGCAGCCAAGTTTGCTGACAGTTTCTCACAATGATGTTTTCTCACATGGCCAAAGATGCACGCCTTTGACCCCACCATGCAAGCACAGATGGTGGCAGATTTGGTGTACAGAAAGATCGATGCTGATGCACATGCCATTTTGTCCCGCTTTGTGGACGTTTCAGATATTTCAGAAGTTGCTAGGTGTCAAGGTGATCTTTCACATGATTCGGGTTCCAAAACTTCAGACATCTGGGTTTTAGATCACGATTAAGGTTGCCAGATTGTGCAGACTGAGCGGTGGACCTTTTGACCTTAAATCATATATCTTGATGTGGGTAGAAAGGGACTTGGGATGAAATCCAGGCGCTTCAAGGTTTGAGGTGCCCATTGTTTGTTTTTGGCCTGGATGAAATTCAAAGATGGTAGGTTTCAAGAATGCCTTTTCCAAGATCTCAGTGGGGTTTGCGGTGCAGGTGCCAGATGCTGCAGAAGCCATGCCATCGACGAAGCCAGAGATCCCACAGGTCATTCGATGGGGACGGTTTAGATTTTTCAGAAGTTTCCAGGTGTCAAGGTGATCTTTCGTGTGTGAGGCAGACGATCCGGGTTCAAAACTTTAACGGACTTCGGGGTTTTAGACCATCATGAACATTGCTGGATTGAATTGCAGACTGAGCGGTGGACCTTGGTCAAGCTTGGGCATCTTAAATCATATATTTTGATTTCTGTAAAAAGGGACTTGGGATGAAATCCAGGTGCTTCCAGGTTTTGAGGTTGAACATGTTGTAAACGTTGCGGTCCAAGTTCACAGACATGCAGCCCTCAGCAAGCACAAGATTCTCAAGTTCGGACCAGTTTGTGATTCGAGTCGCGGACACTAGACACTGCAATGGAGCTAGCTGATGTGCTCTTCTTTGTTTCCATTCTGGCTCCTGGAGTGTGTTTCGGGGTGACCGCCACCCTGATGGTGCAATTCTTGTTGTGCAAGATGGCAAGCAGCCCAGCACTTCCAGCATCTTCCCAGGGCGACAGAACATCTTGTTCCAGAAAGCAGGGGAAAACTGGTCATAAATTCAATGGAGACGGTGTCGCCAACGTGATTGATATGTTTGATTCGCCCATTTCGCCCGTTTTTTACCTGTCACAGTCAGGTATGTGTCATAAGCGGCCGGTGTGCAGTGGGATGAAGAGCCCCAGGAAGATCCCTCTTTGTACAAAGTGCTTTGGCTAGAAAACATCTCCTGGATGATCTGGATGGATTCACACATATCAGCCAAGATTGAGACATTTGAGACACATCTCCTGATTGAAAGCTTGGGAAAAAGACGTGGAGCAGTGCATCTGTGAAAGGCGATTCAGAAAGTGTTGAAAACATGAAAATTCATCGCGTTTGGGCCTTAAGATCCTTAAGATCTTCAGGGGTTGTCTGTCTTATCTGTCTTGGATATCTTGATGTTTGTAAAAAGGGACTTGGGATGAAATCCAGGTGCTTCAAGGTTTGAGGTGCCAATTGTTGTTTTTTGGCCTGGATGAAATTCACAGATGGTAGGTTTCAAGAATGCCTTTTCCGAGATTTCAGCGGGGATTGTGTGGCAGGTGGTCAGTGCTGCAGAAGCTGCGCCATCGACGAAGTTGGAGATGCCACAGGTCATTCCATGTGGACGATTCAGATCTTTAGAAGTTTCCAGGTATCAAGGTGATCTTTCATATGATCCGGATTCCAAAACTTCAGACTTCGGGGTTTTAGATCAAGATGAACATTGTCAGACTTTGCAGACTGAGTGGTGAGCCTTTGTCAATCTTGGACATCTTAAATCATGTATTTTGATGCATGTAAAAAGGGACTTGGGATGAAATCCAGGCGCTTCAAGGTTTGAGGTGCCCATTGTTTGTTTTTGGCCTGGATGAAATTCAAAGATGGTAGGTTTCAAGAATGCCTTTTCCAAGATCTCAGTGGGGTTTGCGGTGCAGGTGCCAGATGCTGCAGAAGCCATGCCATCGACGAAGCCAGAGATCCCACAGGTCATTCGATGGGGACGGTTTAGATTTTTCAGAAGTTTCCAGGTGTCAAGGTGATCTTTCGTGTGTGAGGCAGACGATCCGGGTTCAAAACTTTAACGGACTTCGGGGTTTTAGACCATCATGAACATTGCTGGATTGAATTGCAGACTGAGCGGTGGACCTTGGTCAAGCTTGGGCATCTTAAAGCTCATATTATCTTGATGCCTGTAAAAGATGTAACAGGGGACTTGGGATGAAATCCAGGCGCTTAAAGGTTTGAGGTGCCAATTGTTTGTTTTTGGTCTGGATGAATTTCAATCATGGTAGGTTTCAGGAATCCCTTTTCCAAAGTATCTTTGGGGGTTGTGGGGCAGGTGGCAAATGATGTTGAAGCCGCGCCATTGAAGAATCGAGAGTCGCCACAGGTCATCCGATGTGGACGCTTCTAGATGTCAAGATGATCTTTGATATCTTTGATTTGTTTTCTCATCATCTTTAGGGTTTCAGATCATGGTGAAGATGGTGGGAATTTTTGGACAGGATTGGAGACAAAAAAGTAGACATGTGTCCATCTTGGAAATCTTTATGCATGCCAAAAAAAAGCTTTTGGGATGAAATCCAGGTGCTTCAAGGTTTGAGGTGCCAATTGTTGTTTTTGGCCTGGATGAAATTCACAGATGGTAGGTTTCAAGAATGCCTTTTCCGAGATTTCAGCGGGGATTGTGTGGCAGGTGGTCAGTGCTGCAGAAGCTGCGCCATCGACGAAGTTGGAGATGCCACAGGTCATTCCATGTGGACGATTCAGATCTTTAGAAGTTTCCAGGTATCAAGGTGATCTTTCATATGATCCGGATTCCAAAACTTCAGACTTCGGGGTTTTAGATCAAGATGAACATTGTCAGACTTTGCAGACTGAGTGGTGAGCCTTTGTCAATCTTGGACATCTTAAATCATGTATTTTGATGCATGTAAAAAGGGACTTGGGATGAAATCCAGGCGCTTCAAGGTTTGAGGTGCCCATTGTTTGTTTTTGGCCTGGATGAAATTCAAAGATGGTAGGTTTCCAGAATGCCTTTTCCAAGATCTCAGTGGGGTTTGCGGTGCAGGTGCCAGATGCTGCAGAAGCCATGCCATCGACGAAGCCAGAGATCCCACAGGTCATTCGATGGGGACGGTTTAGATTTTTCAGAAGTTTCCAGGTGTCAAGGTGATCTTTCGTGTGTGAGGCAGACGATCCGGGTTCAAAACTTTAACGGACTTCGGGGTTTTAGACCATCATGAACATTGCTGGATTGAATTGCAGACTGAGCGGTGGACCTTGGTCAAGCTTGGGCATCTTAAAGCTCATATTATCTTGATGCCTGTAAAAGATGTAACAGGGGACTTGGGATGAAATCCAGGCGCTTAAAGGTTTGAGGTGCCAATTGTTTGTTTTTGGTCTGGATGAATTTCAATCATGGTAGGTTTCAGGAATCCCTTTTCCAAAGTATCTTTGGGGGTTGTGGGGCAGGTGGCAAATGATGTTGAAGCCGCGCCATTGAAGAATCGAGAGTCGCCACAGGTCATCCGATGTGGACGCTTCTAGATGTCAAGATGATCTTTGATATCTTTGATTTGTTTTCTCATCATCTTTAGGGTTTCAGATCATGGTGAAGATGGTGGGAATTTTTGGACGGGATTGGAGACAAAAAAGTAGACATGTGTCCATCTTGGAAATCTTTATGCATGCCAAAAAAAAGCTTTTGGGATGAAATCCAGGTGCTTCAAGGTTTGAGGTGCCAATTGTTGTTTTTGGCCTGGATGAAATTCACAGATGGTAGATTTCCAGTTTCTGTGGCCACATCATGAAGTTCAGATGGGTAGGGGCCTCAAGCATCCCTGCTCAGCGAACCAGGTGCCAAATCTCCACCAGACCAGCGAGATGGTCTTGACGCCAGAGAAGACACGGCGTCCGGACAAGTGGGACAACTTTGATGCACACCTCAACCGCTTTGACCACATGATCCGGCAACAAGATCAACCAGCTGCACCAGAACAATCCAATCCCTCGACACCGAGAAGGAATTCTGGGCAATCCCATCCTGCGACCCCGATTAGCAATTGCCAAGAACCGGCAGTTTCAGGACGGGGAAACATGTTCAGCATTGAAGACGTGAAAACACTTTTGCAGGCCGCAATGCTATGCTTCCCAAATGAATTTCATAGTCCCTACGGTCAGATGATTTGACAATGATTTTGGGTCTAGAAAATCTGGCAAGGGTCCCCCTCATAATGCTGCTCCTGGAGCCACAGTTTGCCATGAAATCAGGTTCCTTGAATGAAAATCATGGTTTTGAGGTGCTCTAGGATGAAATTCAGTGTTGAGGTATGGCTAATACATGAAATCCTTGATCAGCCATCAACAAATTTAGAAAGCACTTGCCGATTTTTTTTGTATAAAGTTCCTACTAAAAATTGTTGATTTGGCCATGATTTTGGGCCCGGCAAGGGTCCCCCTCACAATGCCGCTCCTGGAGCCACAGAATGCCATGAAATCATATGAAATCAGGTTCTGGTCCTTCAAATGAAATTCATGGCCCTTAGGTGCCCTAGGATGAAATTCAGTGTTTGAGGTATGGCTAAATACATGAAATCCTTGATCAGCCATCAACAAATTTAGAAAGCACTTGCCGATTTTTTTTGTATAAAGTTCCTACTAAAAATTGTTGATTTGGCAATGATTTTGGGCCTGGCAAGGGTCCCCCTCACAATGCCGCTCCTGGAGCCACAGAATGCCATGAAATCATATGAAATCAGGTTCTGGTCCTTCAAATGAAATTCATGGCCCTTAGGTGCCCTAGGATGAAATTCAGTGTTGAGGTTTGGCTAAATACATGAAATCCATCATCAACCATCAAAAAAAATTAGAAAGTACTTGCCGATTTTTCTTGTATAAAGTTCCTACTAAAAATTACTAATTTGGCAATGATTTTGGGCCTGGCAAGGGTCCCCCTCACAATGCCCCTACAGGACCCATACAACGTCATGCCCAGAACGTCTTGAAGTGTGGCACCTACGTGGAACTAGTCGATGTCCTTTTGTGGTGCCAGCGGCTTGCTGTGAAGCCTGTCTTTTTATTGAACACAGAGGCTGACATACAGGATGCCGAGCCAGCGGATGAGTATGTATCGAAAGTTTTGGGCCCAGACTGTCCTGCCAGTGCACATTGGTGGGATGACTCCTGTGCCACATTTGCTTTTGCTCTGACGCGCAGAGACTTTCGAGCATCAGATGACCCTTGTGCTTGGAACCACTGGGTCGCATGTTTGCCCAGTAGTGAGTTGAAGTTGGCAGATCGTATCTTGCTACTGCAAGGAGAAGGTGAGAGACTGTCTCGTTTCTACCTGGAGCAAGTGCAACACACTGAGGATGAAACAGTGGTCGAAAGCTTGTTGACTGAAAAAGAGCATGCCACTGACCGATTGAACAACCTCCAGAAGTTCACCAGAAGAGTGCACTCTTCCTCCGGCTTGTTTCCTTGTGATGTTGGTGCAGACGGAAATTGTGGCTTGTGGGCCTTCATGTCTCTTATGTGTCAAGCCCGCATGGAACAATTGCTCAAATCTCCAAGTGCTCCTGATGCTACTGAGTCAGACATGAATGAGATGAAATCCTTGAGGCAACAGTTGAGCTTTGCATGGCTTTCGGTGGCATCAGACGAATCTTGGGGAAAGCTGTATGGTTTGATGGCCAGCGATGTAGCCAACCCAGGTGTTCGAGCAGAAGGTGTTGACAAACCTGACAAGGATGATCTTGTGGAAAAAATGGAAATGACGCCTGAGAGAAAACAACGCCTGGAGTCTGTCTACAAAAATTTCACACCACCCAGAGTGCCAAAGCCTTCCCACGCACGACCTGGTGCAGGCCTGGTGCGACCGAGACTTGCTGATGGTCCTGCCCTTCCTCTGAGCAAAACCTTGCCTACTTCAGCGAGCATTCAGACAGAGGTGAAGGATGTGAAGGTGAAGCTGGAACCTGGTGTGTCAGCGCCAAAGCAGGGGATTCTGGAAGCTTTTTGATGGCATTGGGATGAAATAGAGTGATAGTTATGGATGAAATTCCATGACATGAGGATGAATCTTTTTTGACATGGATGAAAATGATAGACTTGAGAAGTATGCAACGAACTATGCTTCTGCGAGTGATGTATATTATTTGTGCCGCGTCGTCATTGTGTCAAACCTTGCACCCATGGATTTCATTCCACAAATTTCATCCAATTGGATCCGGTTTCAAATATACATATGTCTTGGATTTTTGCAGTCTTTTCCAGTTTCTTGATGAACTCAGGCTGGTGCAATCGACCCCATCCAGCACGGGCTTGCATTTATGCAGCAGCCAGGTGTGAAAGTGAAGGAGGAGATTTCCGAAGTGCCTTGACAGCAGCGGGTGGGTGGCCGCAGCTGCACCAATGCAGAACATATTGCCGATATCCTGGAAATTCAAAAGATTAAGTTCCCGGGCCTGAGGACACATGTCTGCAGCTGAGATGAAATTCCACGGATTGAGATATCACATATATGGTGGGTCTGGGTTTATTTGTGCAGGTGTGCAGGAGGTGTCAGGTTTTTGTCATGTTTTGATATCATACACTGTAACACCTTGCCTCCATGAATCTCATCCCTGGTACCATTGATTTGAAACATGTTGCTCAGGGGTTTTGTGTTCTTTTGTTTTGAAAGCTTCGCTCAGATCAGGATGGCAAAACCAAGACCAAGAAGAGCAAGCGAAAACAGACTTCAAGAGAGGATCTCAGTGTGCGCATTGAGAAGAAGAACAAAGCTTGGAGATTGAATGCTGCTCGGAGCCACTGTGCTGAATTACGTGTGCACTCTGCAGCCTTCCTGAGTGCGCATTCCAAAAACAAGGTGCTGCGAGGAGCGCCAGACTGCAAGAATGGAGGCTGGCACAAGCTGCTATGGAAACTGCTAGATGGAGAAGTTCCCGTTGATTGTGCTCAGTGCCGCAAACTCTTGGAGAAAGCGGACTTCAAGATGGAAGATTTCCAGCGAGATGTGAACCCTGCCACAACGACTCTTTTCAAGGAGGACAAAGCTGATCAGGAGGTACAAGTGGTGGAGTCACAAGACCAACACCGTGCAGAAGATGCAGACCAAGATGATGAGACTGAGGGTAATGAGGGGTCAGTACTGGACCAGGTCCGGGCAAACCCGCACCTGGAGTTGCTCCCCGAAAACAGCCACAAAAGAAGATTTCCGGTCAAATGCAACCTTTGCTTTCGAAAGCACAGCAGGGCGCATGCTATTTTCGACTTGGTCAATCTGAAGAAGGCCAAGATGTTGCGACAGCATCTGAAAACGCACACTCATCGTGCAAAGTTGGCTGAATGGCAGGCAAACCAGGTCCCGGTCGACTTGACTGCCGGAGCATCAGGAACTCCTGGTTTCGTGCCGTGTGAAGGTCTATCCCTTCCTCATTGCGAAGGCAGCAAGTTGTACGAAATGCAGAATGCCTACAAGCTTTGGGCTGCGTACAACTCCAGCAGGGGCATCCAGTCCGCCTGGAAGGATAAGCAGGAAGAGTTTGGTCACACCTACACCTATGACATCAGGACCGACAGTCATGCCATCAGGCACCAGTCCTGTGCACAACCTCTTCTACCGTTTTCTCCGAAGTCCCGCCCAGTGTGTGCCAAATGCAGCTCGCTCTCGAACGACAGAAGTGTACTCCGCATGGTTGCTCGCTTCTACTTGAAACATGCAGCAACGCGTGCCTTGGCACAAGCATGCTGGGATGGGGATGGAATTCTGGTCACTGAGGTTTGATTTGTGATGTCAACCCTTCCATCAAGATATGTTTCAAAATTTTAACATCTTCAACTTGGACAGGGTTTCCTCGTGGTGTTAGATGTGTGGGTCCCACACCTCATTACCTGGAACCCTATTCATGCCATGGAGACATGTCTTAGGATATTTAGGATGCATAATATACATAAGATACACGATACAAAAGAGAGAGCGCAAATGATTCTGGAAACTAATGGCTTGAACCTCAATTCCTGGAAAACTATCCGGCTGTCCTTCGCCCAGTGAGGCCTCTTGTCTGCCAAGCTATTCCAGACTGATGAGACCCAGTCGGTTGTGGATGAGATCAGAGCGAGCCCAGTTTGCAAGTATGGCTTTGGTGATGAAGCAGAAGGAATCATCGCTGCAGACACCAACCGATTGCAAAGGTTTGTCAAGACCCAGTTCCTTTGCATACCTGCGCGGCACAGGAGTTGCCAACTGCAGGATTTCATCAGCGGCAAGGTGTTTCCGTGCGTGCAGGTGGCCACTTCTGGCTGGTCCGGGACAGTGGTCACGCAGGCGCATGACATTGCCCACAAGCTGCGCTCTGGGAACCTATCCTCGCTGGAGGATTTGAACATGAAGATGGGGTGTGCCGTAGCAGCAGGTGCCAGTGGAGCGGAATTGTTGGATCATGCGGACATGCTTGATGATGTTAACGTCATTGAATTATCGATAGTTATGGGCGTTTCTTTGCTATGTGGTTTGTTTCAAAAGTAGCCCCTGATGCAGGCCAGCTGAACAGCCATCCTCTAGTTCAAGGCATCCTGATTGCGGCCTTGGAGCAGCAGAAGCGCCTTGAACACGGCGTGGAATCCATGAAAGGGCTCAAGGTGAGCGAGCTGGAACTGAGCCGCATGAGTGAAGCAGGCGTGATGCTGAGTGCAGCAGCTTGTAACAAGCACTTGCTGAAGGCTTTCGGCCTGGCGTGGGCGCTGCCTCACCTCCCATTGGCAAGGTTGCATGAGAAGGGCCTCCCTGAACCCTTCCTTTCGGTGGCTCAGGACAACATTCTCTCAACAAATGCATCTATCATCTCTGACATGCTCCAGTGCAAGACGCGCAACGAGGACATCCAGGTCAACCCTCGAAGATTGTCACTTGCCTTCGACAAGACATACCTGATCAAAGGCCTTGACATAGTCCAGATCAGGGTCGGAAAAGGTTACGTCGGCGCAGCGTTTGACATCGCTTCGCTTGAGCTCAACCAGGGGCAAGGTGATTCCAAGCAACTCTCTGGCTTCTTGCCACTACTTGGTCAAAAAGATGAGAAAGACATTCTCAATGCACCTGGCTGGGATCCGCCAGAAACAGAGCCAGTGCCGATAGAGCTCGACGAGGGCGACAATGCTCAGGATGACAGTTGGGACGCTGCAAAGGTGGATCTGGCCACAGAGGTTTGCGAGTTCTTGATGTGGTGTCCATCGCTGAAAGGCCTCCCAAAGATGAGCGCTTGTTCAATTCCCCTTTCCTATGAAATCGACAAGCTTCAGATGCTGAGGCTTCTGGGCCATGTGCTGGAGGAGGGAGGTGCGCACATCCGCACGATTGTCTTTGACAACCAGTCCAACCACAACTTGATCAAGGCCATGCTTTTGGGAAAGCCCAATGTGCTGCCCAAGGAGGTGCTGGAATCATTGCCTTTTTGGAGCAGGTTGGAGTTTGTCAATTTTCCAGAGACATGCATGCCCAAGTTTCCGTACAGCAGACCATACATCGGCGCAGATGCCTTGCTCCCTGGCTGTCATTAGTTTTAAGCTCAGAATGATGAGAATGATGGGTGTCAGCTTCTCTGAAGGGCAGAATTCAGTGCTTTGAGGCAGTTCAAATCAGCAGACAAATGCCAGAGATGAATTTCCAAGGAACCAACGTTTTTTTGGCACATTTACCATGGGTCCCTGAGAAGATCTGTCAAGAATTGAAATCCTTTGACATGCCAGCTTTTCTTCACAAACGTATCAAACGTTGTGACTTTAAATGTTTTGTGGTTCTGGACCGTCCATTGGAACTTGTTGTTCTCCCGGTCCTGTACTGGTATCGTTGGATTTGAACACACCTGATGTTGTAGATTTCTGTGTGGGTCAGCTACAGGACACGTCGAATGAAATTCAATGGAGGGAGGTCTGAACTCTACAGAGGATTGCAAATGGGGATGTAAAATGATCCAAAAGATCTAAAAGTGATTGCCATCATGGTTTTTGCTAGATTAATTTCATATACCAAAGGTTTTAATCCTCAGCCCCAGGGCGTCCAGTCAGCCAGTGAATCATTGCCCCAGGTTCGGCTTGAACGGTGCAGCGCATATTCAAAAAAACTTCGTGAGCAACCTGCGGTCCCCTGTGAGGACGATTCTGTGGGGGAAGCATTGGGTGGATTTGTCACCATTGCTTGACCTTGGCCTCCCGCCTTCGAGCTTCATCGGGTACGATCCGATGTCGGATCGAGAGGCAGCTGTGCTGCTGAACGGCTCTTTGGCAATGTGCAATAGTTTATGTAGTGTGGAATCTTCTGCTTTTAGTCTCTCTTCTATATCATGTGTTTTTCGAAGATTATGCATGATAGTAGAGGGGTGCATGATGCATGGTGGATACAATTCATTGGCCTGAGGTTCTAGTAAAGAATGACAATGGTAAGAATCTCCCAAAGCGAAGCAACAGCGTAAGACAAGGGTGCATAGCCATCAGCTTCGTAGAGGTTTCTTGGGGTCGTTTGAAATTCAGTAGGCCTGAGGTATCTTGAAGTGGGTAACATCTTTGCATATCAGGCTACCTGTTGAAGAATGATCTGACCCAGACTGGGATGCAAATCCCGTGGTGCCTACGTGGGTTTCTTGTGATCAACTTGATCGGTGCCTTGGCCATCGGATCTTCCTTCCACCCTCAGTTGTCCCCGGAGGAACGAGTCGAGAATGCGCTTTCTGCCTACATTTGCCTTGACATCGGCAGGCTCATGGCAAATGAGTCGTCCCAGAGAAATGGCTTGAGGAAGGGGACCAATTGGCTGGCGCCACAGACACATGAATGCTTGCAAAGCTTGTGTGCACTGGTGTGCATAGCAGCCATGGGGCTGCCAGGCAACATGCCTTGGTGCCCGCACAGGAGTTCTGAATTGCCCTTAGAGCAATTTTTTGGATCTCTCAGAAAGCAGTTCTCTTCAAGCCAAATGCGCATGAGGGACTACATGTATGCAGCCACCAGGTGCATGTTCGAGGCACAGAACAAGGCCAAGAACGGATGCTTGTTGCATGATGATGGTCATGCTTTTGCGCAACCAGTGTGCGAAGAAGCATTTGCAAGGTGCGCCGAGCGAGCTTTGACATCTGCTACGAAGCTGATGGCTTGTTCTTCTGAGCCACTTGATCAGGATATCAGGCGAATGCACCCTTGTTCTACTGGAATGTTCTTCCCATTGTTTAATTGCAATGAATTGGTGGCCTAACCTTTCAAATCTTTCAATGGTGTTCCAAAGTGTTTGGTTTTCGGGGTGAATGGTGGATGAAATTCAGTTGGCTGACGTTTAGATGATGGCCCCTTTGCAAGCTGCCAGGCATTGAGCACTCATGGTTGACTTGATATTGCTTGGACAGAAAGCTTAACACATGGAGTTTCATCCAGTTGCATGGAACAATCCACACTCATTCAGACAAAGTCATTGTGTCAACATCTTCGGACTTTTTTTGTTTCAGAATCTTATGTATCTTAGACAAAATTCGTATGTATCTTAGACAAAATTCGGTTCCCGAAATCTCGCGAAATCTGAGGCACACCATGAATGAAGTGCTCCAGAAATATGTCGAGTCTTGCGCTGGTGGCAATGAACAGCTGGAGGCAGAGATGATGGCTGATGCAGATCTGGCTTTTTTCCGTCTGCAGGAGTTCGAGGCAGAGATGGCGGCAGATGTGGAGGAGCTGTCCGATGATCTAGATGAGCCAGAAACGGACATTGAGCAAGAGGTTGATGCTTCTGGTTTTCAGGTTCCTTTGGAAGGTGCTGATCGCGACTGCTGGGATTTGCTTCAGCAGATCAAGGCCAGACATGAAGCTGACAAGGTGACATGGGAAAGCATTGCCAAGGGCGAAGCTTCAGTGGAACTCCCTGAAGGGGAAGCAAGCCGTTATGGCCAAAAAGTTTTGCCGCGCAAGGAATTGGACAAGGGGGCATGGGATGAAATCCTTGCAGAACCGGCAGGGGGTGATGCACCACCATGTCCGGGTGATCTTCTCACCTTATCTGCAGTTTTCAAAAAGGTTCGTTTGGGCAATCAGGAGCTCAAGTCTCTGGATCCAGCCATGGACCATCTGTGGCAGTGCTTGATCAATCTGAGAGCTGGAAGCGACGGGCATCTGATTCCATGTCCCGAGAAAGTCCGTGTGTCCAAGGCAAAACTGAATTGGCACCAGCTGGCAGAAAAGCAAGCTGCCATCATCAGAGCAATCGCTGGCCTTCCGGCCAAACGGACCAGCCGTGCAGAGGCGTGGAGGAATTTGGCAGCAGGTTTGAAGAAAAAATGCGACTGGTCAGATGCTTCTGTTGAAGTTGCCAATGGGCAGGTTGTTCTTTATGTTCCTCCGAGACAAAAGTCATGGCGCGTGGGCTTGGTGCTAACTGTGTGGCGATACACGGCCAAGAAGGGGAAAAGAGTTGGTGCTCGGCCAGTCACGCTGCCAATCCCTTTGGACCTCACTCGGTATATCCGTGTGTGTGAATTGACTTGCGTCGATGAGAACAAGGGCATTTGGAGACATTCCATTGATGATGATTGTGACAAGAAAGTTCTGGTGTGCGATGTGAACCGAGTGGGATTGTTCTTGCAAGTTTCTCAGGCTCGTCCCAGCATGGATGGCTACGAATGCATGCTGACCGAGAAGTCCATGCAGGCTGTGCAGCATGCGCATCTCTGGGATGAGTGGCCACCCCATTTGAAGAATTGCGACGATTTCAGGACAGCCAAGGCGTCTATGGCAGATGGCAGTGCCAACTCAAAGACCACAAAGACAACAAAAGGAAGCAAGAGGAAACGCAATGCCAAGGTGGTCTCTGCACAATGGTGGATGGGAGCCCGGTGAGCCAATAGGGAGTTGTTTTCACCAGAATGATTTCCATGGGATAGATGATATTTATGAATATATTTCCCACATGCTAGGTTTCATTACCGAAGTGTTAGTTGCATATGGGGTCCGTTCAAGGGGAACAATGTTCACCATTGAATGCGTGATAACAATTATGGCAGCCGCAATGCTATGCTTCGCAGATGAATTTCATAGCCCCTAGGTGTCAGATGATTTGGCAATGATTTTAGGTCCTTCAGATGAACTTCATGATATTCATGGCCCTTAGGTGCTCTAGGATGAAATTCAGTGTTTGAGGTTTGGCTATACACATGAAAACCCATCATCACACATCAACAAATTGGGAAAGTACTTGCCGATTTTTCTTGTATAAAGTTCCTACTAAAAATTACTGATTTGGCAATGATTTTGGGCCTGGCAAGGGTCCCCCTCACAATGCCGCTCCTGGAGCCACAGAATGCCATGAAATCAGGTTATGGATGTTATGGTCTTTCAAATGAAATTCATGGCCCTTAGGTGCTCTAGGATGAAATTCAGTGTTTGAGGTTTGGCTATACGTATGAAAACCCATCATCACACATCAACAAATTGGGAAAGTACTTGCTGATTTTTTTTGTATAAAGTTCCTACTAAAAATTACTGATTTGGCCATGATTTTGGGCCCGGCAAGGGTCCCCCTCACAATGCCGCTCCTGGAGCCACAGAATGCCATGAAATCAGGTTCTGGTCCTTCAAATGAAATTCATGGCCCTTAGGTGCTCTAGGATGAAATTCAGTGTTTGAGGTATGGCTATATCCATGAAACCCTTCATCAGATATCAACAAGTTTATAAAGCACTTGCCGATTCAACCTGGCTAGGTTCAGAAGGTGGGCTCCATCACCCTCGTCGATGATGACGGGGATGATGAACATGAAGAAGGATTTGCTGAAGAGAAGCCTGATTCCAAGAAGCTCATCAAGACTTTGCATGAGAAAGCAAGTGCTGCTGTCAAAGATGTCAAAGCGAAGAAGATCGAGGAAATCCCAGTACCTGGGATTGAACTGATTGAGTGGTCGGACTGAAATCCATGGGACCATGGTTATATACTGTATGTCATATTGTGGTTCAGTTGTATATGTTGTATTGAATGTTGGTCAGGTTGGTCAGGATGGAATCCATGAGACCATGGTTTACTTTTTGATCTTTTTGTAGCCAGATGGATGTTGGTCAAATTTTGATGGCCCATCGTTTTTTTTGCATGTCCCGAAGCAATGGTGATTAGCAGAAAGATCAGAAAGTGTTCACAAGAATGATGTTCCATGAGATGATGTTGCCCACCTGCGAGGTTTTCCCATTGTCCTGACAGTTGTAGGGAAATTCGGTCAGGATGAAATTCATTGGACAATGGTTTTATTTAGTCAAGCTCAGTCGGCTTCCTGAAGCATTATATAATATATATATATATATTTGAATTCCAGGACTTGATGTGGCCCATGTTGAATCTTCGTGATCAACTTAGGCAATCCCGGCAAACTTTGACCGCTTCCGGAGAGGCGACAAGGTTATTCGCCAGGAACTGAACCGGCTTTTGCAGTTAGACCACGAGCATCATCCAGATCGTCCCCTTCTAGGTGAAGATGGACATGTCCGTTTGCGGAATGCAGATGGGCACACGGAGCACGGCTTGGCCTGGGAGGAGAT